TAGCCAGGATGGTCTTGATCTCCTGACCTCGTGATCCGCCCGTCTCAGCCTCCCAAAGTGCTGGGATTACAGGCTTGAGCCACCGCGCCCGGCCTGCCATCTCTTCTTAATTTCTTCAGGGATTTTTTTTTTTTTTTAATAGAATGGCTAGTCATTTTAACTTAATTTTGTAAGTCTAAGTTAAAGGGCAGAGATAGTAACTTTTCAATAAAAAGCAATTCTACTAATGCACTGATAATGAATATACTGAACAGAGTTGGAAAGCATTTTACTGAAAGCAAACTATAGAAAATAGACTTTTTTTTTTTTTTTCCGAGGAGTCTTGCACTGTCACCCAGGCTGGAGTGCAGTGGTGCAATTTCGGCTCACTGCAACCTCTGTCTCCTGGGTTCAAACAATTCTCCTGCCTCAGCCTCCCAAGTAGCTGGGATTACAGGTGTGCACCAATACACCTGGCTAATTTTTGTATTTTTAGTAGAGACAAGGTTTCACCATGTTGACCAGGCTGGTCTTGAACTGCTGACTTCAGGTGATCTCCCACCTCAGCCTCCCAAAGTGCTGGGATTACAGGTGTGAGCCACCGCGCCTGGCGAAAACAGACATTTGTACAAAATTATATAATGCTTGTGATAAGAATAAGTGGGGCCAGACATGGTGGCTCACACCTGTAATCCCAGCACTTTGGGAGACTGAGGCTGGTGGGAATGCCTGAGGTCAGGATTTCAAGATCAGCCTGGCCAACATGGCAAACCCTGTCTCTACTGAAAATACAAAAATTAGCCAGACATGGTGGCAGGTGCCTATAATCCCAGCTCCTTGGGAGGCTGAGGCAGGAGAATCGCTGGAACCTGGGAGGCAGAGGTTGCAGTGAGCTGAGATTATGCCACCGCACTCCAGACTGGGTGACAGAATGAGATTCCGTCTAAAAAAACAAAAAGAATAAGTGGATTTCAAGAAAAGCACATTCTATAAAAGATGGTCGTTTTTTTCTTGAGTGTACCAAAGTTATGAAACATAAGGTGACCCAGGAAGGTAGAGGTTTGGGAATTCCTTCAAGGCATTTCCTTTCTACACAGTGCTTCCTTCTTCTCCTTTTTTTTTTTTTATTTTAGTAAGAGGGGGACAGTTTCACTCTGTCACCTAGGCTGGAGTGCAGTGGCACGATCTCGGTTTACTACAACCTCTGCCTCCTGGGTTCAAGTGATTTTCCTGGCCCAGCCTCCTAAATAGCTGGGACTACAGGTGCACGCCACCACACCCGTCTAATTTTTATATTTTTAGTAGAGACAAGGTTTCACCATATTGGTCAGGCTGGTCTTGAACTCCTGACCTCAGGTAATCCACCCACCTTGGCCCCCCAGAGTGCTGGGATTACAGGCGTGAGCCACCACGCCCGGCCCCTCCACTCCTTCGTATCCTTTTTTGGAAATTCACATCTGTTGAAACATGCCCAAAGAAGCTAGAATGGTACCACCAATACATGAACTAAACCTCTGTTCCACTGTTTTATAATTTGCAGTCCATTTCAGCCGTATACCTGGGGGAGTTTTCTGAGAGACCTCTCTATCCAACCTGTCAGTAAAACTGTATCAGCATGTTTCCTCCTGCCACTGCCACACTGCCATAGGGATTCAGGGACCTTTTTGTTAAATACTTAATACCACAAGCATGGGCATGGAAAGAAGAAATGCTCTTGCCCTCGGAAAAAAAGTCTGATATTTATAGCACCCTAAGGATAGAAGCGGGTATGGCTCACTCTCCACTTGATCTTGGTAGCCAAAAGGCTGAGAAGTGCTGAGTTCACTCTTAATGTTATATAGATGCTAGTCTCTTCAATTATATAGGAAGAAACATACTCCGTGATATAGGATAAATGGTTATTATATCTCATTTTCATTCCTAAAGGCAGAATTTTACATATACCTTTGCTTGAAAATTCCTTTACATTTGAAAATTTAGAAAATGATACTTGTCTCACGCCTGTAATCCCAGCACTTTGGGAGGCCGAGGCGGGCAGATCACGAGGTCAGGAGATCGAGACCATCCTGGCTAACACGTGTTAGTATTTCTCTACTAAAAATACAAAAAATTAGCCGGGCGTGGTGGCGGGCGCCTGTAGTCCCAGCTACTTGGGAGGCTGAGGCAGGAGAATGGCGTGAACCCGGGAGGTGGAGCTTGCAATGAGCCAAGATCGCGCCACTGCACTCCTGCCTGGGTGACAGAGTAAGACTCCGTCTCAAAAAAAAAAAAAGAAAAAGAAAATGATACTTGTCTCTGTGTACATTGATTTAAGATGGCACATGGTATTTTGCTTGACAGCATATCAAAGTGATTAAAAGAGCCCACTCTGGAATCAGACCTGGGTTTTTGTTGCTCTCTCTCTCTTCTAGTTTTTGGGCAAAATTTTCAACCTCTTAAACTTGTATTTTCCCTATCTATAAGATATGGGCATTTTAACATCAGTCTTACAGGACGTCTACCTAATGGAATAATGCTTGTAAATAAAGTACTGAGCATGGTGCTCCACATTTACTCAGTGCTTAATAAGTGGTAGCTGCTATTGTTATTATTGTTACTATCATGCTCATTGAAACTGAGCAGTTACCACGATAAAGTTATACTAATGTAACCTTATTAAAAGTGAGAGCTTAGGGAATTTTTTTTTTTTTTTTTTTGAGATCATGCCAGTGGCATGATCACAGCTCACTGCAGCCTCCACCTCCCTGGGCTCAGGTGATCCTCCCACCTTGGCCTCCTGAGTATCTGGGACTATAGGCATGTACCAACCCACCCAGCTAAGTTTTGTATTTTTTGTAGAGATGGGGTTTCACCACATTGCCTGGGCTGGTCTCAAACTCCTGGGCTCAAGCCATCCTCCTGCCTCAGCCTCCCAAAGTGTTAGGATTATAGGTATGAGCCACCGACCCTGGCTCAGAAATGTTCTTATAACTAAACAGGGTTTAGGAAATTAAGGCATTTGGTTATATATTAAGGTATTGTAACTTTGAGTGTGGAAAACTTTGCAGTGAGCTGAGATTATGCTACCGCACTCCAGACTGGGAGTCTGGAGTGAAAAATTAAGGTATTTGAGATAAGGCTTTTGTTATTGTTCTGACCTAACACTTTTTTCCTCCAAAAACTGTATAATGAGAATCCCAGTATTAATATTTGCAAATTATTTTTGGGAAAAGAGCTGTCTGTGGAAAGAACTAATTTTTTTTTTGTTTTTAAAATTTGACTCTGCAATTCTCTTTTCAGTGTCATCAAGCATGATTGAACGATCTGTGGTGGAAGCAGCAGTCCAGGAATGCAGTCAGTCTGTTGATGAAACTATGTATGTGGGTACAGTTAACTTTTTTCCTCATTGGAGGTGTTATTGAGCACTTAGTTTTAATTATTGTCTTGGAAAATTATTAGTGATCAACATTTCCACAGTGGTTGCTGTTGTTATTTCTGTATGTCTTTTTAAATAATGGCTTTCTTTGCAAACCTCATTATTAAATGATTCATCTTTACTGGTTTCTTCTAGGATTTGAAGTTACAATGTTGCTGTACCATTCATTACTAACTTTTGCTGCCTACCCAGCCAGTGGATCTGACTTTTTATTCTGTATGCTACAAATGAGTTGAATTGAAATGAATATTCAGAAGTATAATTTACTTTGCTCTTAGGAAAGTACCATGCCCAGAGAAGTTCAGCAACTTTACTTGGTCACATGGTGAATGGCAAATGAGAGTAGGACCTCAGTTTTGTGACTCTACTATCTCATGTTTTTAGGTTTAAGAATTTATATGGCAGTAATTCTTCTGGGTTTTATTTCTGTGAATATCCCTCTTGATATGATACTTCTATCCAAATTCATGGCATTTTATTATGAATTGCCATGGAAAACACTGGGGAAAATGGGCTGAGAGACAGTTTTAACATTGCCACTTCTTTCCTATTTGGGGTAATGGAGGTGATTGAAAGGAGTCATTATCTTTATTTTAGTCAGAAGTTGTAATCTTCTCCGTGTCAGAACTTATAACTGCTAAATAAATAAATAAATAAATACAGAAATTGAGGATTTTTAATTTTACCTTTGCAAACTCATTTAAAATACTAGTGTGACCAGGCACAGTGGCTCACACCTATAATCCCAGCACTTTGGGAGGCCAAGGTGGTTGGATCACTTGAGGTCAGGAGTTCAAGACCAGCCTGGCCAACATGGTGAAACCCCATCTCTACTAAAAATACAAAAATTAGCCGGGCGGTAGTGGGATGCACCTGTAATCCCAGGTACTTGGGAGGCTGAGATAGGAGAATCACTTGAGCCTGGGAGGTGGAGGTTGCAGTGAGCTGAGATCATGCCACTACAGTCCAGTCTGGGTGACAGAGTGAGACCCTGTCTCAAAAAATAAAATAAAATAAATACTAGAGTATAATGAATGTTCCTAAAGCAATCAATAGAAATTCAAAACGATTGTATTAAAGTTTAAGGATTATTATCCTAAAATAGACATTACTCATTGTTTACCCTAAAGTTACCTGTTATTTATTTATTTACTTACTTTCCCCCACATCAATCTGCATTCACTTTATTCTTCTGTTTATACATTCTCCTGCTCCCAGATTTGGAGGCAGAACATAATAATATGAGCTCAACAGTCCTGCACAGAGCCATGTACCATATCCCATCAGTTTTCCTTTTCCCAACCCCTGTCTCACCCCCACTCAGTAAAGCCCCTTGTCCAGGTGTTGCTCTTGGGGGTAAGAAAGCAGAAAATCAGGCTGGGCGCAGTGGCTCATGCTTGTAATCCCAGCACTTTGGGAGGCTGAGGTGGGCAGATCACCTGAGGTCAGGAGTTCAAGACCAGCCTGGCCAACATACAGTGAAACCGCATCTCTACTAAAAAATACAAAAATTAGCTGGGCATGGTGGTGTATGCCTGTAGTCTCAGCTATTTGGGAAGCTGAGGCAGGAGAATCACTTGAACCCGGGAGGCGGAGATTGCAGTGAGCCAAGATCGTGCCTCTCTGCTCCAGCCTGGATGACAGACGAAAAAGAAAAAGAAAAAAAAAGAAAGAATGGGTAGAGAGTCCAGTGAGGGATGGGAGCCTCTTTCCAAGGCACAAGGGGCTACCTCCTCAACATGGCCACTGCTTTGTTCAGATTTGGGTAGTGTGCTGGCCAGGAGCTGGGGGCTGCAGTACCTCCAGCTGATTGAGGAGGCAAGCATTGTGAGGCTGCTGCAGCAGGTCCACAGTGATCACTGAGGCCGGGAGCTGCCACACTCCTGAAGAATGCATGGGGCTTTGTGGGATGCTGTGTTGGTTCTGCACAGCAAGGGCCACACTGTCACGTTTCCTGAACACCATTTCATAAGGGCCTTCCTCAAACATTGTGGCATGTATCACACAACCCAGAGACCAGACACCAGTCTATTCATCAATGACACAGTGACTGCTCAGGCAAGAGCTCTAGGGCTCAGTAGGAGATGGTGCACTGGGTCGCCTAGCCCTGCAGGGTCAGGGCCTGGTGGGAGACCTTCATTCGAGGCATGCTTGATTCATGGCATCCAAGTCCATTAAAACTGGCTGCCCCTCATCTCCAAGCAAGATACTGGTGGGCTTCAGGTCCCTGTGGGCCTAACCCTTGGCATGAATGGCCTCATGGCTGCTGTAGATACCCAGCAGCAGCTGAAAGATTTGATCATAAGTGAGGAAGTTGCCATCGTCCTTCGGCCTTTCTCTCCATTCCACAGTATACCTCTCTTAAAGAACGGAAGCAGCAGCCAGGCCTCATGCTCAGCACCCTGCTCCCTCAGACAGTAAGCCGTGAGGTAAAGGATTGAAGAGGCGATGCATGTTCGCTTCTTGGCTGGGCCTCCTCCTGGTCCTGCTGCTTGGGACGCAGGATTCACTTCAGGGCGTAGAAGTCTCCATCCTGTAACCTCTCCACTAGATCCACAGAGCTGAACCCCCCCTCCCCCAGGTTCTAGATGAAGAAATAGCTATTGTCAATGATGACATTTCCCTAAGAACAGGCACACAGTGTGTGGCCCATGATGTCTCAGTCATCCTCCTCAAGGACTGTCTGAGGCTGCCAAAGGGCTGGTCCAGGGTGAGTGGGCTCTTCCAGAAAATGCACTACGTGCCCAGGGATCATGATTCTCATCAAGAGTAAACAGGTCCTAGTGACGCCAGTTCTAACAAGGATGGGGTCAGGTGCCTTAAAGCCTCAGGACACATAGCAACTACCAGGCTGCTTCCTCCAACCCCAGCCCACCTTTGGGCAGCCCCTGCTCCCACACCTGCCAGGCCTCAAAGGCAGGGCACAGTTTCAGAGGAGGTGCGAACCTCAGGCCTATCCCTGGCCTCAGTGTGCAGTGCCAGGGTCAGCCAGCCCGCACTCCTCACTGACCTGGCTCGGCTATTTCTGTCAGGCTGTTTATATGTTACAGCCAACCCACATGGAGGTCCAGTGGGGACTGAACGGTAAAGGATTTTTGTACCTTCAGTTGTCAGAATCATTATATCATACCACAATAGAGGCTCTTGTTCTCATAGATGAAGAGAAGGCATGAGAAGTTCAATAACTTACTCAGACCGATCCACCAGAAAATAGTGGAGCAGTGTCTGGAGTCTAGAGTTTCCTCAAGTTCACTGATTCTCAGCTACTCCATACCTGTTACCTCTAGGGTAGCATTAACCTTTTTTGATCATTTTCAATTTGGGAGATAAACATAATTTTAGGAAAGATTTTTAGGTTGGGATATTTATACAATAGTGCTGTAGAAATTTTTAACTTCTTTTAAACATGGTTGTATTATTAAAAGTGTCTGAAATTAAATATTTTTTTTTGGTTTTCCATCTCTAACACTATATACATATAGTATAAGTCTGAAAGATATGGCCAGAATTGGGAGGGGGGGTTCTTTTTCCATTGTATAACTTTTCCTGGGACACTTTTACATAACATTTTAGATTTGGCAGGATGCGGTGGCTCACGCCTGTAATCCTAGCACTTTGGGAGGCCAAAGCAAGCAGATCATGAGGTCAGGAGTTTAAGACCAGCCTGGCCAACACAGTGAAATCTCATCTCTACTAAAAATACAAAAAATTAGCTGGGCGTGGTGGAGGGCACCTGTAATCCCAGCTACTTGGGAGGCTGAGGCAGGAGAATCGCTTGAACCCGGGAGGCAGAGGTTGCAGTGAGCCGAGATTGTACCACTGCACTCCAGCCTGGGTGACAGAAGTAGACTCCATCTCAGACAAACAAGCAAACAACAAACAAAAAAACATTTTAGATTTTTAAAATTGTTGGGGTTGGGCATGGTGGCTCGTGACTGTAATTCCAGCACTTTGGGAGGCTGAGGCAGGCGGATCACTTGAGGTTAGGAGTTTGAGACCAGCCTGGCCACTATGGCAAAACTCTTTCTCTACTAAAAATACAAAAATTAGCTGGGTGTGGTGGCACATGCCTGTAATCCCAGCTACTTGAGAGGCGGGAGAATTGCTTGAGGCCAGGACGAAGAGGTTGCAGTGAGCCAAGATCACACCCCAGCCTGGGCATCAGAGTGAGACTGTCTCAAAAAACAAAACAAAAACAAAAACAAAAAAATAAAAATTGTTGGAACTTAATCATATCCTTTAATAATACTGTAGCTCATGGCCGGGCACGGTGGCTCATGCCTATAATCCAGCACTTTGGGAGGCTGAGGCAGGCCGATCACCTGAGGTTGGGAGTTAGTGACCAGCCTGACCAACATGAAGAAACCCCGCCTTTGTTAGAAATACAAAATTAGCCGGGCGTGGTGGTGCATGCCTGTAATCCCACCTACTCGGGAGGCTGAGGCAGCAGAATCTCTTGAACCCTGGAGGCGGAGGTTGTGATGAGCCAAGATCGAGCCATTGTACTCCAGCCTGGGCAACAAGAATGAAACTCCGTCTCAAAAAAAAAAACAAAAAACAAAAAACACTGTAGCTCGTAAAAGTAGACATTTCTTTAAGATGTGACTATTGTTTATGTAATTGTTCTTTTTCAACAGATGAAATTCTTAACTAGAAGTTAACTTGATTAATTTTTTTTTCTTGTGAGTTTTGGCAATGCTTTCTTGTCCCTTGAGATGAAAATGCACAAGCTAAACATTTTACCCCCATAGTATTTTTGACACTATAAGAAATTGTGGGCCAGGCATGGTGGCTCACATCTGTAATCCCAGCACTTTGGGAGGCCGAGGTGAGTGGATCTCCTGAGGTCAGGAGTTCGAGACCAGCCTGACCAACATGGAGAAACCCCGTCTCTACTAAAAATACAAAATTAGCTGGACATGGTGGTGCATGCCTGTGATCCCAGCTACTGCATGCCTGTGATCCCAGCTACTTGGGAGACTGAGGCAGGAGAATCACTTGAACCCGGGAGGCAGAGGTTGCAGTGAGCCGATATCACGCCATTGCACTCTAGCCTGGGTAACAATAGTGAAACTCTGTCTTTAAAAAAAAAAAGAAAGAAAGAAAAAGAGAAAGAAATTGTGTGCCTGGCCTGAGAAAATGTGAAAAGTGTGTTATTACAAAGACTTATAATGCAAGTTATCATGTTCACCTAGAGTACTTACGTTTTAGTAAATCAGGTCTGTGTTTTGTGGGATGTTTTTCAGAGAGCACGTTTTCAATATCATAGGAGCATTTGATATTCCACGCTTTGTGTACAATTCAGAAAGAAAAAAATTTCTTCCGTAAGTATGCCATCCACTGATTTTAAATTAATTTCAAATGTACTTTTTTTTCCAGAAGGTATATAGTCTCTTGCTTCACTTTTGGCTCACCTTTGTGTATTATGATAGTCAAAAATAGGCATTCTTTTTTTCTAGGCTGTTAATGACCAACCACCCTGCACCAAATTTATTTGGAACAGCAAGAGATAAAGCAGAGCTGTTTCGTGAGCGATATACCATTTTGCACCAGGTAAGTTTGGTAGCGGGCGGAGGGGAGGATATTAGGTAAACAGAGAAAAAAAGAGACTGTTTCAGTTTAGGGAAATCTCAGGGATGTTTAATGAATGGAATTTTGTGGTCCAAAATTGGTCATTCAATAAACTGTTACTGAGATTTCTGTAATTGAGACCATGTAGAAGATACAGAGCTGAAAAAGCTATTTTCCTCTTAACAACAATGATGGTGGTAAAAATAGTAGTTACCATTTAATACATGATATGCCACTTAGCACTTAACATACATTATTTACCTCATTTAATCCTCATGATACTAATATATGTGTAAATGCTATTATTATCCCCATTTTACAGATGAGGAAACTGAGGCTTAAAGAAGTTTAGTAACTTGCCCATAGATCACATATAGTAAGACAGGATTTCAATCCAGCCTGACTCTAAAGCCCAGCCATTGCCTACTATACTTTACTACCTTCAAGTAGCTTACAGTCTATGAAGTTATAGACATTTGTGCAAATATATAAAGTAGAATTTTATATGTGCTATAACAGATACAAACAATGTATTCAATAAAAGAATCAGGGAAGGCTTCAAGGAAATGATGGCATTTGGCATGGACCTAGATTGCTTTAATCTTGTGGAAATGGGGAAAGGGTGGTGGTGATTGTGAACAAAGGTACAGCAAAAAATGGACTCTGTGCAGGAAATGATGAGAAAATCAGGAGTAGCATGGGATCAGTTTGGAAAGGCAAGTGGGAGCCAAATTGTAGGAGCACTTTGGATGCCACCCTTGGGAGTTGGGACTGTTCTCCTTGTGCGAGGTGCTTTGGAATACCAGAGAAAATCGCAGCCAGGTTTTTTGAGTGCTTCCTCCCCCAGCAGATATGGGGATGACTTAAGAGTGTGAGAGAAGCCTTCTAGAAGTCTGTGCTATTAGTCTTGGCATAAATGATAGCCTGGATGAAGGAAGTGGCAAGGGGTGTAGAATGAGGGCATCACCCTCAAGCAGCAGAAACTATAAGCACATGGTGACTGTCTGGATGTGAAGGAGAAGGGAGGGGGTGAAGAATCAGAGATGAGTAAGGCCTGGAGTCTGAGAGAGTAGAATATAGAATAATGCATTAAACAGGAAAAAGAGAATGTTTGTAGAAGGTGATGGCAGTTTCTGTTTTAAGCATTTGAGTTAAGATTGCCAGGAGAATATCAAGTGAAGTGTACATCTGGAGCTAAGGAAAGAGAGCTGGTAGCATGAGAGAGATTTGGGAGCATCTGTATAGAGTAAAAAATGGAACTACAAGGATGAGACCCTGGCAGAAAGAGAAGTGATAAAAAGAGAAGAGGGAGGCTAGGCGCAATGGCTCACGCCTGTAATCCCAGCACTCTGGGAGGCTGAGGCGGGTGGATCACCTGAGGTCGGGATCTCGAGACCTGTCTGACCAACATGGAGAAACCCTGTCTCTACTAAAAATACAAAATTAGCCAGGCATGGTAGCGCATGCCTGTAATTCCAGCTACTCGAGAGGCTGAGGCAGGAGAATCACTTGAACCCGGAAGGCAGAGGTTGTGGTGAGCCGAGATGGCGCCATTGCACTCCAGCCTGGGCAACAACAGCGAAACTCCATTTCAAAAAAAAAAAAAAGAGAGAAGAGGGGAAGCGGATAGATAGAACTTGGGGGCCAGGCGAGGATGATGTTATATGGTAGAAGCACAAGAAGGCTTCAAGGAGGAGCAGATGGTCAGCAGTAGGTTAAATAAAGGTTGAAAAGAATGATCCTTGAGGAAACAGTATCCTCTGCTGCTTTCATTGCTGACATAGTGTTGCCAGGTTAATCTGCCCAAAGTGTAGCTCTGACCACCTCATGGGTTTTGCACAGAAGTCTTTCAAGGAAATTCACTGCCTATTAAATGCAGATTATCCTTAATATGTAAGGTCTTCTCTCACACATAATTGTCCTAATCTCTACTTTTCCTCTAGTCATACTCTGTGCTGGAGCCAAAACTGAAATATGGAATTATTGTTTCTGTTTCTTTCACTACTTCTGTGACTTTGTTTATCCTGTAGACTGCTCTTCCCTCTTATCTCCACTGTTGAAACCGTCCTAATTTTGGAAGGCTCTTCTCAGATTCCTCCTTTCTGGAGCCCTTCTTGATCTTCAGTTGGATACAATCTTTTTCTTTTTTATTTATTTTATTTTTGAGATGAAGTCTCGCTCTGTTGCCTAGGCTAGAGTGCAGTGGTACAAACTTGGCTCACTGCAACCTCTGCCTCCTGGGTTCAAGTGATTCTTCTTCCTCAGACTCCCAAGTAGCTGGGATTATAGGCACATACCACTACACCCAGTTAACTTCTTTATTTTAGTAGAGACGGGGTTTCACCATGTTGGCCAGGCTGGGCTCGAACTCCTGACCTCAAGTGATCTGCCCACCTCAGCCTCCCAAAGTGCTGGGATTACAGGCCTGAGCCACCATACCTAGCTGAATGCAATCTCTTTCTGCTCGAACCGAGTAGTACGTCCTTTTTTTTTTTTTTTTTTTCCTGAGGCAGAGTCTTACTCTGTTGCCCAGGCTGTAGTGCAGTGGCGCAATCTCGGCTTGCTGCAACCTCTGCCTCCCAGGTTCAAGAGATATTCCTGCCTCAGCCTCCTGAGTAGCTGGGACTACAGGCACATGCCACAACGCCCGGCTAATTTTTTGTATTTTTAGTAGAGACGGGGTTTCACTGTGTTAGCCAGGATGGTCTCCATCTCCTGACCTCGTGATCCACCTGCCTTGGCCTCCCAAAGTGTTGGGATCACAGGCGTGAGCCACTGAGTCCAGCCGAGTAGTACGTCTTTTATGTCACTGACTGGACTTGGCCCTACCTTGCATTTGAGGTGTTTACCCTGTGATTAGACTGTGAATTCCTTGTTTATCTCCTCTGCCACATTTGGCACTGTCCTTTATACAAAGAAGGTGCTTAGTAAACACCATATTTCTTTTTTCTTAAGTATGTTTTGAAGTCTACTCTGTTATTGTGGGTGTGCCACTTATCCCTTCTGAGCCTCATTTATTCATCTGTGAAATAAACAGGTTGAAGTTCAGTCCATTCATATTTTCATTGCAGTTATCTTCCAGAAAATCAATCTGATGTTTTCATTATCCTACTTCAAAATCTTTGTTTCTCATTGTCTATATGATAAACTTCTTGGCTGGGGATACACAGTTTGTATTGTCAGGGCTTTTTGAGTTGGAGGTTACGGAAACTCAAATTGATTAAAACTGAAAAAGGAATATATTGGTTTAGCTTGTATTATGAAGTCTAGAAGTCCACCAGTTTCAAGCCTGGCTGGATCCAGGTGTTCACACAATATCAGGAGGCATCTGTCTCTTTCCATGTCCCAGCTCTTTTAAAAAATTGATTTTACTTTCAAATAGGTTCTCCCTATAAAGTGACAAAGATCTCCACTAGTAGCCTTAGCAACTCTTGGAAAGAGAGTTCCTCTTTTCTAATAGTTCTAGCAAAAGTCTTGAATCTGTCTTTTTTGAGCCTACCTTGAAGCACTTGCTCATCCTTGAACCAATCACTGGCCAAAAGGATGGAGTACTTTCATTTTCTAGGCCTTGAATTCCTATCTATAGAAAGGAGAAGGGGTATCAATCCTACCTAAACTATATGGACTGAGAGTTGGGGAGGGAAGTATCCCCACATGGATCTTACTAATCTCTGGCCTTGTCTGCACTCCATAATTCAACTGTGTTAAACTTTACATAGCTTCCTAAATACTCTAACTCTTATGGTTTCTCTGCCTGAAATGCCGTGTTTTTTTTTTTTGAGACAGAGTTTCGGTCTTGTTGCCCAGGCAGGAGTGCAGTGGCACGATCTCAGCTCACTGCAATCTCTGCCTCCCGGATTCAAGCAATTCTCCTACCTCAGCCTCCTGAGTAGCTGGAATTACAGGCACCTGCCACCATACCCAGCTAATTTTTGTATTTTTAGTACAGACGGAGTTTCACTATGTTGGCCAGGCTGGTCTCGAACTCCTGACCTCAGGTGATCCGCCCTCCTTGGCCTCCCAAAGTGCTGGGATTACAGGCGTGAGCCACTGTGCCTGGCCCTGAAATGTCTTATCTCAGCCTCCTTTTGTTTCTTACTACCCAAACCTTATTTATCATCTGGGCTGTTGTTCAATGGCCCCTTTGGCCTGGGGTACAGTCAACCCTCACAGTACTTTGTTGTGTGGTGGCACTTCTCTTTCAGTAGCCCCAGTGCTCTCAGAGTGACACTTGGTTGTTCTTCATATCCTCAGCCCACTATGTGCTGCTGCCATATGCACAATAGACCTTTAAAATTTTTACTTTTATTTTTTTAATTTTAAAACTTATATTACTAGATATTTGTATGTTAAATTATGTGGGTTTTCAAATTTGCTGAGAATGAGTAATAGTGACATTAAGGACAATGTTTCATCAGGACACTATTTTAGTGAATCTTATATTTAAATGTCTGTTTCAGTAATTCATGTGAATCTTTCTTTTTTATAGAGGACCCACAGGCATGAATTATTTACTCCTCCGGTGATAGGTTCTCACCCTGATGAAAGCGGAAGCAAATTCCAGGTTAGAACATTATCCTAGTTATGTAGGGGATATAAGTGTATAAGTTTAATATTTGTTGCTTAATTCTAATTCGTTAAATTTTAAATGAAAATAAACTACTGGTAACTGTTTAGCTAACTGGACTGGCTGCATGCCCACTTTTGATCTAGTCCATTCCTAGAGTCCTGTGTCCCACAAATCTCTATCAGAAGCTAGTGCTTCCTTTGAGAAGGCCCTGATACAATGCTAGCCCCAGATACACTCTGGCCTCCAAGATAGCTTTCTAGCCCATTTGGATACTACACTGGCTTTCTGATAACTTTTCAACATTTCTTTTCTTGCCCTCACTCATCCCTTAGTGACCATAGCACTAAGGAACTCAAATACTGGTTCCTTGCCCAACTTATCCCTCGTGACCACCACACACAGTTATTGAACTAGAATGTGTTACATTGGTAGAAGTGAAAACTTTACTTAAGGTACTAAGGAAACAACATTTATAGAATGAATGTGAGAACACAAATGGTTCCCACAACCTGGGCAACATAGCAAGACCTCATCTTTACAAACAATAAAAAACATTAGCCAGGCATGGTGGTGTGCACCTGTGGTCCCAGCTACCTGAGAGGCTGAGGTGGGAGGATGACTTGAGCTTGGGAGGTTGAGGCTGCGGTGAGCTGAGATCATGCCACTGTACTCCAGCCTGGGTGACAGTGTAGGGACCCCCTCAAACAAACAAACAAAACTTTTATTAGAGTATAAATTAGGTTTTAGAAATTGGCATTACTTATATTTCCCTACCAAAGATCATCTATATGTTTTCCATATTAGGTTTTCTCTGGCAACTGAGATGCCCACAGCCCAGGAGCCTTTTCCCTCGTCTCCTCTTTGACCAAGTAATTTTAAGGCTTAACTAAATAATTATTCTTTTCGAACTGTCTAATTCTGTATCTGTGATGGCACATTCCCTACTTAAATTACATTTATCTACCTGTATGATAATATCCCTTTACAGATTGCAAAAATGATGTGCTAAAAATTACTGTTATTTTACTTCTCCTGTGTTGTTTTAGGTTCTTTTTTTTTTTCTTTTGATAGAGACATGGGGTCTCGTGATGTTGCCCAGGCTGGTCTTGAACTCCTGTCCTCAAGTGATCCTCCTGCCCCAGCCTCCTGAGTAGCTGGGACAATAGGTGTGCACCACTACACTTGGCTAGGTTCTTTTCCCTTCCCTTCCCCCTTCCCCCTTTCCCTTTTCTTTCCTTTCTTTCCGACAGTCTTGCTCTGTCACCCAGGCTGTAGTGCAGTCGTGCAATCTTGGCTCACTGCAACCTCCTCTTCCCAGGTTCAAGCAATTCTGCCTCAGCCTCTTGAGTAGCTGGGATTATATGTGCACACCACCATGCCTAACTAATTTTTTTGTATTTTTAGTAGAGATGGTATTTTGCCATGTAGGCCAGGCTGGTCTTGAACTGACCTCAAGTGATCCATCCACCTCAGCCTCCCAAAGTGCTTGGTTTACAGGCGTGAGCCACCACGCCCAGCCCTACGTTCATATTTTTTAAGAGTAACTCCAGTATTAAATGTTAAGGTGATTATTATGGAATGATAGGATTGTATAAGTTTTTATTTCTTTCTTGTCTATATTTAAAATTTTTTTCTATAGTATACATGAATTATTTGTAATAAGAAAACAAAGATAAAACGTAAAGATAAAAGAAGCTCCACTTGGTAATTTCTATAAATATAAAAACTTACATATCCTTTTATCTAGCAATTGTGTTTCTAGAATGTGTAGAACTTTATTCAACAGTTATTATCTGTAGCTGGATGCAGTGGCTAGTGCCTGTAATCCTGGTGACTCAGGGGCCTGCGGTGGAAGGATCACTTGAGCCCAGTTGAAGGCTGCAGTGAGGTATGAGAGTGTCACTGCACTCTAGCCTGGGCAATGTGAGACCCCATCTCAAAAAAAAAAAGAAAAAAGTTTCTATCACTGTAGTGGGCCAAAGAAAGGTGCACAGAAATGTTAAAAATTGTTTTTATTAGTAGAAAACTGGGAACAACCTAAATGTCCTTTAATGGGAGTTTGGTGAAATAAATGGTCATATGTATAATATAGATATCTCTATTCTTTAAACAGAAGGAAATTTATATGTAGAAAAATGGAAAGATATCTCAGATATTAACTTCAAAAAGTTAAGTTGCAGAATAGTACATATACTATGATTTCATCTTTGTGAATAAACTGTATAGGTGTGTGTCATAAGTTATATATGTATGTATTTACATATATTTAGGATTACATACAGAAAAAGTTGGAAAGGATTTTTTATCTTATTTTATTTTATTTTTATTTTTATTTTTATTTTTTTGAGATGTAATCTTGCTCTGTTGCCCAGGCTGGAGTGCAGTGGCGTGATATCAGCTCACTGCAAGCTCTGCCTCCTTGGTTCACGCCATTTTCCTGCCTCAGCCTCCGGAGTAGCTGGGACTACAGGCGCCCACCACCACGCCCGGCTAATTTTTTGTATTTTTAGTAGAGATGGGGTTTCACTGTGGTGTCGATCTCCTGACCTTGTGATCTGCCCGCCTTGGCCCCCCAAAGTGCTGGGATTACAGGTGTGAGCCACTGCGCCTGGGTGGCAAGGATTTTTTACAATGGTGTCCCAATTTTTACTACCTTAAACTTTCTGATTAGAAAAAAAGATCAGATTGAGAATGTAAATAATAATGAGAGCCTTTTAAAATACTAAGTAAAATTAGAATATATATTTTTAAATAGCTTGCTAATTTTCAAAAGGTACTGTTCAAATAAAATAAAATTGATATTCTTTTCTATATTTTAAAAATAAATGTACTTATCATTATTCGGAATGATATGGTGTGGATTCAGTCATTGGTAAGAGCCTGAGTTGATGTGGTGTTTCTTTAGGCATGATTCTTTCAGGCCATCATACACTTGATCTTACAGCTTTTTTGTAGGACAAAATTAAACATCCTAAGTTTAATTTTACAACTTTATTTCCATTTTATTTGATTTTCTACTGTAAAGTAGCTATAAATGCTGAAATGTGTACCCCAAATTTACTTACTTATAAAAAGTTTAGTTTCTTGAAAGAATATATTTATAGTCTTTAAAATTTATTTTGTTTTATTTTAGCTTAAAACAATAGAAACCTTATTGGGTAGTACAACCAAAATCGGAGATGTGATTGTTCTTGGAATGATAACGCAGTTAAAAGAGGTAACTTAATAAACATCAAACTTTTAGTTTTGGCCTTGGATTGATAAAATGTTGGTTACATAGAACATTTTTGTGGCGGGCACAGGAATGTACTCTTTATTGAAAACTCGCCTCACCAACAGAAAAATACTGGAATAGTGGTAATATAAGGAAATAGTATCATCATGTTAGAAGCCTTGGAATAAGGATAAATAATGGCTGTTGGCCAGGCATAGTGGCTCACGCCTGTAATCCCAGCCACTTTAGGAGTCCGAGGCAGGCGGATCACCTGAGGCCAGGAGTTGGAGACCAGCCTGATCAACATGGAGAAACCCTGTCTCTACTAAAAATACAAAATTAGCCG